CTATATCATGAATTTCAATTCTTTATATTACAGTTATCCTTATATAATAAAGTATTATTTACAGTATAATGCAAGTTTAAACAAATAAATAAATAAATGCTGTATATATACAGTTCAAATATATAAAGCATACTATGTACGACTATGTACAATATATAAATCGATATATTAATGATTTAACCCGCCAGTCAGGATATATTAATGATTGCATAGAGTAAATAAAACTTAATATAACTAAACTAATTTCATACTAATCAAATATTAAGCATCGTATGACATCCGAATGAAAAGAAGAGAGAGCCGCTGTATTTGCACACAGCCGATTCGAGAATTTACAAAGCATTCGCCATACCCATCCACAGTACACAAGCTAGGTTAAATTAGATTTGAGTCGAACAATTAATTATTCATTCGGGGTTACGGTGGTTGGTTGCGAATCCAGCATCACAATGGAATCTTTCTTCAGCGTTGTATCATTTCCACCACCTTTACCCATCACGATGCCTTCCGACTCTTTATGCTCAAACACGCCGATCCCTATATCCTGATTTGGTCCGAGTTTAACAATAATGAAAAAAAAAAATAAGCGAACCATTTTACGAATACACGCATAAATCGACGACAGACTGTGCTTATATACCCATTCGATGACATTTTCAGTACCATCCTCGACATGTTCAATATTGACGCTCGTTGGCTCTTTAGTAGCAAGCCGTTTGTTCCCTTCAGCGATTTTCGGTAAGAACTCGTTTATCTTTGAGTCCACTGTATGATGATTGCGTCGACGTGAAACATTAAAATGATTCACAGGTCGAAAAGAAAAACGAATGATGATACGTACACAAAGTAGGAGGATTCAAAGGAAAAGTTTTAGGTTTTTTATTGCTCTCGTTGGATTTATCATTTTGTGATATTTCAGTGGATTTTTTTGAGAAATCACTGTTTGGCTCTCCTTTCAATAGGTTAACTAACGGGGCATTGCCCATAAATAAATAAATATTCATTTAATATTTATCGGTCGATAAGAAATTAACTCACGGATCCTACCGATTTTATGTGACATAAATGATTCCTCATTATTCTCAAGTTCTAGAAATTCGCGCTTAACACCTTCAGGCATGTTTTGCTAATGCTAGATTCGTGAGTATTGAAAAATTTTTTAAACTTAACCTTTCTAATGTTGCACGAATCATGTGATAGAGGCAATTAGATGATATTAATTATTGCCACTCCTCTTACGTGTTGCACATCTCATGTATAATCATGTATCGCGACTTTTGAAAGGTGGTATATACAAGAGACCACCAACTTGGTATCCGGTTATGAAAGCATATCCACCTGGGCCTAGTATTCTTCGTTCTCCTCTTCAATTCAGTGAGTCTTCGTTAACGGAGGATGGTGGACATGCAGAAGCTGAAAACTGCAAACGAGTAGAAGCCAAACATTTGAAAACCAAAATTCCTAAGCCTCGAAAGATCGAATTTCCCGAGGATAGATTACGTAGGCGGTTTTATAAAGATCATCCTTATGAATTGTTAAGGCCTCAAACTTTGCTGGAAAAAGAATCGCCCGTCCAAGAAGATTGGAATTCATTGGATAATAAGCATCCTTCCCTAGTAAATGGCGAAAGGTAATCATTACAAACTTTGATAGACGACAGAACAGCGAAAAGGTTTCATATTGATGAATGATGAATTGATTCAATTATGCAGTGTGATTAAATATCAGCTACACCTAATATCAGAAGGAATGGAAGAACATAAAGCCTACGAAATAGCGTGTAACGAGTTTTATGCAATTCGCGCAAAACAGGAGGTCGCAGAGCGTGTAGCTGAAGAACAGGCGTTGGCTTTCGGCGCCAAACGTCCTTTATCACAAGTAGAAAAGGCATTGTGGTTAGAACATGAAAATATCAAGAAATGCCCACCACAGATTGTGGTCCAAAATTCGAGAGCCACCTAATTTAAGAATTCACTCAAGTTTTACGTACTAGACAGTATAACAAGAACCGACGCGTGCAAATGAGGTTTATTCTTATTAAACCTGAAGCGTCACGATAGCAAAATTATGTTATTAATGAGTCTAATAACAGAATTTCGAAAGAGAAGAATGAAATAAATATGAATTCAGATATAAACATAAAAACCACATAGCCTTCTATAAAAATGCGCAACTTATTTTATTTATTGTAAAATATTCTGTCCATAAAAAATTAAATTAATAGAGAGGTGGATTTTTGGATACTTTTTTAAGTTTTGAGGGCATGGACAAATTTGAAGATAGTTTTTTTGCTCGAGCCAAAGATGTATCCCATTTTTGGTTTCCGTAGTTTTAAATGTGAGAATTCAGACCAACAGACGAGCTCGGTGCATTTAAATAAAATACAAAACGTTTTTTATTAAAAGTAAAATCTGAAATGTATGGAGAAATGAATCCACGGTTTCAGGCAGCCAGCACATATAAATGCGCAAATAATTAACTGTAAACAGACAAGACACACGCATCCAGGTCATCGTCATTCTGCCATTTTCGTTTTTGTGAGCTTCGAAGAATGAAATCATTATCTGACATTATCACGTCGGTGTCGATAGTGACGTCGGGTGCGTCACCTATATTTTCCATCATAACATCAGACTTGAGTGTACAGTCGGATTCCATATCCTCATTATCTGCGGAGTCATTACCTTTCTCCGCCACCTCCATATCGTCGTCCGACGTGACCTCATCGGATTCAATGGTATCATCCGAGTCATTCCATTTGATGCTTAAATCTTTTGTGCTCTCATTCGATTTTCTTTCCATTAATTCGTCTTGGCATTCCTTAATGTATTCCCCAAGCAATTCGGCTTGCGAAATTAGATATTTCCCCGAAAGGGTGTTGGGTACAATCCAATATGGACCTTCTATGTCTGAAAAATAATCATTTTATTTAGAAGAAAACGTCAGCATTAACATGCGTAAATTACAGCGTCAATATTAGTTAACACACCAAATTTTCGCTCGAATTGAAGAGTCCATATAAGGCGGCAGATAAAATTTTTCGAGAAATTAAAATAGCCATAGTAGTTCATAAGTCTTTGAACTTTTGCGGTTTTTGGAAGGATCCCTATTAGGAAAGAAGATATAAGCTAAACAAGAATGACAACAGATGCAAACTTTACGATAAAATATGCATACGGTAATCATCATAAGGCACTTGTGATTCTTCTGCGCCTTTCGAGTGAGATAAAACTTTCTTCCTCGCGGCGATTTGCTCTTCAGTAATTCGCTGGCACCCTAATTTTATCATAGTCTAGATTTAAGAGTAATAAGACCGAATGCATTAAAAAAGTTTAAAATGTCTTCATGCCCAATGAAAGAAAAAAGAAGTCGAACCTCTTGAAGCCATTTGATGTGCTCTAGTTGACCTTGCCTAATAAGTTGTTTAACGGAGGTTTTCTTGTGAAATTCGCGTTCCTTGTCCGTAAATTGAGGCTTTGAAACCTTATGCTTAAAGCGTTCCTTTTAAGGAAGACAAGGGTAAGGACATCGAAGCGCATGATAAGAATTAAGTACACACGGGTTGAACAAACCTCTTTGTCCTGTTGCAACTTTTGTCTTTCTAAAAATGACGTATAACTCAAAATGACTTTGTCAATTTCTTCAAACAACGAGAACTTCAATAAGGCCCGAACGAACATCACGCGTTGTTAGCGGGAAGTAATTAAAAAAAAAAAGCTCGATATCGACATTAACCAACTTTACCATCTCATAATTTGGCGCAAATAAAGTATCGACCTTCATCTCCTTATATATTTCGTTACAAACATCTTTAACGAGATCCAAAAAATCTTTTTGGGACGGGGATAAATTAGGGTCCTCGTGATTCCCAGCTTTTAAGTTATTTACAATCCGATCCCAGGCTCTTAAAATCCTTGACATTACATTCAAGTATTTGACCTTTGACGCAAGAATAAAAATGATAAAGTTTTATCGATCTAAAGTATGAGAACGAAGATTCCACTCATATACCTTTATAAAAAGGTCCATCGAATTCTGATTTACACAAATACGTTCGAACATCACGTTCACGGCGTAAAAGTCGCATTTGTACTTTTCGTGCACATCGTACGCATTAATGTAAGCCATGTAGGTATCGATGACTTTCTCATTGACAAATTTCTAATATATATATATATATATATATATAAATAAAACAATCAATTTATTTTCAACTGTAAATCCCAAATTATTAAAGAATGTGGAAACACTTGAATCTACCTTTTCAAACTGACGAAACATGTTCCGACGAAGTGAATTGTCATTTTCCGAGAACTCAAGTTTCAAATATTTCTTTCCGTGTTCCACGTCCCGAGGGTATTTCACTCTAATATTTCTTTCTTTGTATGAGTCCCCAGGTTTTCTAAGCGAAGTGACGGAATTTTCCTTCGCATAATTGTCTTTAGCTGTAATAAATATTTGTGATCATTAACTGCCCATATATAGTCTAAATTAAGTGGATAATAAAAAAAAAAAAAGAAAAGAGAACTAGCATAGGATGTTATTATTTACGCTTTTCTTTATAGCCTGTTCTAATGACATAAATATGTCTTTTCTTTGAAAAGTGTTCAAGCATCGATAAAAGGCGATGAACCGAAGAGACTAAAATGGCAATAAAGCTTTCAGTAATAAACAGAGCATCACATAGAAAGTCAGAATGATCAATATTATTTTTTTCAATTCACAATATTTTCCCTTCACCCGACATTATAAGATCTTTGTCGCACGTACACCATTACTCGAATGAAGAAATTGATGGCTAGATACCTATGCGGTCTATCCCTGGAATCTTCGACAAGGTTAACGATAAATTCCACGCGTTCAAGGTTCAGTAAGAGTTTGTTTTCTACGTGATGAACCGCCGCCTTGACACCATCACCTATGTTGCTCGAGGAACTCATGATTTCGACATTTCTCGCCTGCAGAATCAGCAAACACCACAGCAATGAGAATACTTCAAAATAACCGAGAGATCAATTTGAGATATACGTGCACCATTTGTTGCAAACATTCTAGCGCGAGCTCAAGGTCTTCCAGATTCTAGAAACAAAAGCGAACGCGTTACAACGATAACAATGCAACATGTGAGAATATCAGGGATGAATTCTATAATCTCTACGAACGTTCAATTGATTCAATTCTTTAATCTCATCGAAGATATAAACGAACCCATCATAACTCAACGCGTCATAAACCACTTTTAACGTGGTTTCAGGATATTTCGGAGAATTACGTGCAGATTTCCGAACGCCCGCTGATATATTATTGGTGTTCCTCAATCCGGATTCTTCCTTTTCCTTAATGAGAAAAAGCTCTTGGAGCTTGAGAAAAAACCGCACAAGGTAGAGCAAACGGAAGGTGTATATTTTCGAATAAGCATTCTGATTCGCAGAAATCTCATCTCTAACAGATCGATTCAGGCCTAAAAAAGATTAACCTAACCGTGTTACTGCACCTAGAATAAGTGCCAGTGGACAAGAAATTCGAACCGTGTAAAAAAAATATATATATATTCTTACTATTGAATGATTCGATTAAAAATTTGGAGGCGGTGGTTCTCAACAAGTCTCGTTCACAATCGCTCATCTCGACCAAATTTTTGCTCGAGTAAAACCAGCAAGACTAGAAAATCAACATAAGGATATCAACCACTAGAAAATCTCTTTTTCACATCAATTTTTGCAGTAAGCACCTTCGGGGTAGGCATTTCTTCTGCTGGGTCATTGTGAATCGATTCTTCTCTTGGAATATTCCCGTTGACCGCGTCATAAATAGATACTGCCTTTTTAATTCCGTCCTGTCAACCGACAATAAATCGTGTGCGTGAAAATAAACCATAGATTATTTTTTTCTTTTTCGCATTATTGTCACATGTACCTCTACTTCAGTCCAAGTTTTCAGTTGGCTTCTTTGATCCGCCAAACGACGGTCTCGTTTTTTACTTTGTTCTTTCGCTAACAATTTTTCCGCAATGCTATTGGATTCCTTTTTTAACCAAAAGTTAGATCACGTGAACTCATAAACGCAAGGATAAGTTGATTCGTGTAATTCGCGCATGCTTACAGCCTTACGATCATACATAATGTCTTCCGGTTCAAGACCATGAAACATGTAAAAAAAAATCTCATGAATCACCACCCTCCACTTCATCAAGCTTTGTTCTTTGTTGGCCATCTCAAATATCAAATCCATGATATTGTATTCTTGGAAACGAGCAAAGAGTTCACGCTGTAGAATATATTATTATGGCCATTATTGAACAAACCACAAGTGCAACAATTGAACGCGACGACCGACTAATTAGTAAACCTTTTTCGTTCCATTTTTGCCTATGGCCGCTAAATATCGGAAGAAGCGTAAACAAGTCTTGATGGCGGAAACAAAGCTATCCTTTGGTTTCATGCTATTGGTAATAAGTCAAAGTCAACAGTAAATAATAATTGAACATTGTGTGTTGATAGCAAAATGTCTCATTTATACCGGTAATAGTCCTCCTTCAATGCACACAGGAATTTATAGACATGTCCAAGTATCTTGTGATTCTTCAAGAACAGCTTCCTATAATCCAACAGAATTTTCACTTCAACATCCGCAATGTTCTGAGAGCCATCTTCGGTGACATCATCATACTTGGATTGGTCGACGGGACGAGTCAGGCGGAAAAAAATTTCCACTTTGATGTCAAAAAAATAATTTTAATTATAATTGTGAAATCAAACATAGAGAACGCGTGTATTATCGCATAAACAAACGAGCCTGTTGCTCAAAAGCTGAAAATGTACCGATATACAATAATATACGTCTCTGTCGATCGTCTTTAAGATCGTTGCTTGTCAACAGTAGAATTAACAAATGCTTCTCCAGCAGCTGCAACTCATAGAGTCGGCGGTAGACGTGAGACTTAAGGCTCACTTCGTTCAAAAAATGTTTGATTTCGTTGAGGCTCTCTGCGAAGAGTGAGTAAGTCGAGAGGATAAAACGCGGTGAAAGCACGAAAGGCAAATTTTACCTATGACCTCGG